AACAGAGGCAAAGGCAGATGCAGACTCCCTGCCTGCTGAGCAGGGAGCACGAAGCAGGGCTCAATCTTGGGACTCCGAGATCATGATCTGAGCTGAAGACAGATGCTTAACCAACTGAGCCACCCAGGGACCTGTGAAATTTTAACTGTTGATTCAAAATTAGCTTTTTCTTTATTATTTACTTTTTAAAGTAGGCTCCACCCTTAGCATGGAACCCATGGTGGGGCTTGAAATCATAGCCCTAAGACCCAAGGTAAGATCAAGAGTCAGATGCTTAACTAGCAGAGCTGCCCAGATGCCCCAAAATAGCTTTTTGTCGTTGTTGTTAGTTGTTTATCTATCAAGAGAAACTATTCTGTTACCCAGTATTCGTGTTTCATAGTTAAGGAACACAGGTCAGTGACAAACTTCAGTGGAACTCAGCCCAAAGAAATTCTTTCTGTTCCAGAATCACCTTGTACTCTTGAGGATACCAGCCTTCTTCATCTCCTCAAAATCTTTCATGGAATCATAATTTCTGTAGAAGAAGGCATATGCCTTCTTCCTGGTTCAGCTACAGCAAACGTATAGAAAGCTGCAACCCCCATTGATACAGCAAACATTCCAGCAATATGAAATCACAGACGCTTGGCCCAGAAGGCCTCGCATCTGAGGTTTCGTCAAAGCACTTGAAGTCATGGTAGTTATTTCCTCAACACCAGCCTCAAACCCAACATCCTTCCTAACAGAAATGGACCCAAAATTGGCTATTTAATATAAATTAATAAGACTGATTAAAAATTAGATTTTTAATCTTGGCCCAATTATTTGAAATGTGTTATAATGCCCAGGTATTTATTTTGATGACTCTAGTCTCATGGAAGACTTATTTTCTATTAACAGTTCTGTCTTGGGATGCCTGGGTAGCTCAGTGGTTGAGCGTCTGCCTTTGGCTCAGGTCGTGATCCCAGGGTCCTAGAATCGAGTCTCACCTGGGCTCCCTGCGGGGAGCCTGCTTCTCCCTCTGCCTGTGTCTCTGCCCCTCTCTCTGTGTGTCTCATGAATAAATAAAATCTTAAAAAAAAAAAACAGTTCTGTGTGAATGTAGGATACTTTGTCCATTTCTCATACTTAAAAGTAGTTCTCAGCTTTTATTGAATCTGATTTTAAGTAAAACTTGAGAATATTATGCCTCAAAGACCAGTTTTATGTTGGGTACTCCCCAGCCTGAAGAAATAAGCCTAGCTTGTCCAGTGCAATTATTCAACTGAAAATAAATTTGGTAATGCCCAAAATAAAACAGACATGAAAAGAGATAAAGTAAGGTAGGGGTACTATACAATATGCCTGAGAGAGGGTTATAGAAGAAACTTAGGTATACTTATGTAAGAAAAGTGTACATATGAGTGCTGACTCAGCATAGAAAAATGAGCAAAGGACATCTAGACAAGTCACAGGGGCTCAAATGGCCAGTAAACATGCGGAAACAAGACTTCACCAGTCAACCTGGCAAAGATTTTTTAAAAGAAAAAAAAAAGAGACTTCGGGGTACCTGGCTTGCTCAGTCAGTAGAGCATGTGATTCTCAATCATGGGGTTGTAAATTCAAGCCCCATATTGGGTGTAGAGATTACCTTAAAATCTTGGAGATGGGCAGCCTGGGTGGCTCAGCGGTTTAGCGCTGCTTTCGGCCCGAGGCCTGATCCTGGAGACCTGGGATCGAGTCCTATGTGGGGCTCCCTGCATGGAGCATGCTTCTCCCTCTGCCTGTGTCTCTGCCTCTCTCTCTCTGTATCTCTCAAGAATTAATAAATAAATAAAATCTAAAATCTTGGAGATAAAAAGAGAATGTTTAATGTTGCTGTGGGTGCAACACTCTTATTAGACATTAGGGGTGGAATGTATAAATTGATGGTCTTTCTGGAAGTCAGCAGAGGCTCTGAAAAATTTATGTCCAATAATTCTACTTAGGAATTTATCCCAAGAGAGCCTGGGTGGCTGTCAGTTAAGATCTGCCTTTGGGGATCCCTGGGTGGTGCAGCAGTTTAGCGCCTGCCTTTGGCCCAGGGCGCGATCCTGGAGACCCGGGATCAAATCCCACGTCGGGCTCCCGGTGCGTGGAGCCTGCTTCTCCCTCTCCTTGTGTCTCTGCCTCTCTCTCTCTCTCTCTCTCTCTCTCTCTCTCTCTCTCTGACTATCATAAATAAATAAAAATTAAAAAAAAAAAATCTGCCTTTGGCTCAGGTCATGATCCCAAGGTCCTGGGATTGTGTCCCGCATCAGGCTCTCTGCTGAGCAGGAGGTCTGCTTCTCCCTGTCCCTCTCCCTCCTGCTCATGTTCATGCTCTCTCAAATAAATAAAATCTTTAAAAGAATATCCCAAAGAAATATTCAGATGTGGACCTATATATAGGGATGAACATCATAGCATTATTTGTGCTAATAAAAACCTGGGAACTGAAAGTGTGATTTTTGTCCAACTCTTGATGACATGAAAAAAAGATTCAGATGGTGGAGGTGGTGGGGAACAGACTACAAAGCTTATATACATAGCAGATTAATTTTATAAAAGAACTACAGAGGAGAGAAAAGAGGAAGAATAAATATAGTAACCAGTCTATCTTCAGCTTTCTATGAACACAGCCATGAATACTTTGATTTGGGGGATGAAATCCCAGAGTATATCTGAGGTGCAGTTTTTTGTTCTCACAGGTAGTTATTACCTAGCATACTGAGGGAGCATACGTCTTTGTTTTCATCACAGTTCTAGTCTAGGAACTAATCTAGAAAAGATTAAAACCCAAGACACATTAAGGATATATATGTATATAATTCATGGTTTGGGCTTGAAGGGAGTCTGGTAGAGAAAGAGAGACAGGTGGCCATTCTCTAGTAGTCTTTGGAGTGTCTTGTCCATCTGAGTCTGTCTCTTCTGATTATTATAAGAAAAGGCAAGCTGCTGTTATCTTTAGTCTTTAAACTTCCAAGTTTAGGGACTCCTGGGTAGCTCAGTGATTGAATGTCTACCTTCTGCTCAAGGTGTGATGCTAGAGTCCTGGGATCGAGTCCCGCATCAGACTCCCTGCATGGAGCCTGCATCTCCTCCCTCTGCCTCTCTGTCTCTCATGAATAAATAAATAAAATCTTAAAAAATAAATAAACTTCCAAGTTTAGATGATGAATCAGAAATGGAAAGCTGGCTATATTCATCTCTGTATCACAAGAATGGGTTCTTCCAGGGTTTTTTTCTTTTTAATGGCTAAATTCTAACGTGTGCTTTTCCTGTTGCTTTAGTCTCCGTGGGCTACTCTTAAATTACATTTAATTATATATATGATATATACAATATGTTATTATATAACTTTATTATATAATATATACTTTTATGTAACATATACTTTTATATATTATAATATTACATTTAATTTCCATATAGTTATAATAAAATATAAATATATTATGAAATATAATTGTATTAGAAAATACAAGTTTTTTATATATATATCTTTATGTATTTTTTTTTAATGGCTAAATTCTAATGTGTGCCTTTCCTGTTGCTTTAGTCTCCCTGGTGGGCTACTAGTAAATTACATATAATTATATATATATATATTATGATTTTATTATATAATTCAATTTCATTTAATTATATATATAAAATCATATTTTAGAATTATATTTCATTTTATATATATATATATATAAATCTCCTTATGTCTTGAGTTTTTTTTTTTTTTTTTTTTTTATGTCTTGAGTTTTAATCTCTCCTAGATCTCCATTTAGAAATGACTGGTATCAGTGAGAATGAATAAAATCAAACAGCTTTTGGTGAGGTCCCCATACTGTCCAAGAGCACAAGAGTAAAGAAATGTATATGTAGGAAAGTAGTTGGCAACGTATGAGGCAAAAGGGAGCTGTGGATTTTGCCTTATTATTTATTTGTTGTCTTTTTCTCTGCAGTAATTTTGTTGTTGTTGTTGAAGATTGGGTAGGAATTTCTTTCCCTAAGGTTGGCCCCAGTACTGGGATGAAGCTGTTTGCATGGCAAATTCAGAATACCTAATATATCATTTGTCATTTTACTTCATTAGGTTGGGTCAGAAAAGGCCTGTTTCTAAGGAACAAATTCCCTCAGATTTGTTAAGGAAATGTTTCATAAAAGATTCCTTAAGTCAGGTCTTTTAACTGATTTGGCCTTGGGGTCTGATTTCAAAAACCCTGCAATACCACACCATGGCTTTTGAAGCCAGATTCCCAGCATTCTGTTCATGTTCTGCACAATCCAGCTTTGTTCACTCTGGTACCGGTCTGGGCCCCACCCAACCCTTGTTTGTGAGTGATCACTGAGCTTTTTGATAAAGGCCATCAACTGACTTTATTTTTACCATGTGCCCACTAGGCGAAGCATGACTGGTTTTTATTTTGCTAGCCTGGCATGGGTGTGGTTGAAAATTGTGTCTGGGAAGTTAGGGATAGAAATATAACTTATATTTAGGAAGAGCATTAGATAGAAATTGTTATACCTTCCTTTGCCTGTCAGGGGGTAAGTAATACCTACACAGCTGGGTTTCTGTGAACAGTTTAGCCAAGGCCACACAGTAAGCCAGGATCAGAGCTTGAATTCTGCACTCCAGTGTGGTGTCCTAGTCATTGGAATGTGCCCCTTCAGCATGTGAAAGAATAAAGGTCATCAAGTGAGAAGGAGAAATGCATATGGACAGGTTCTTTTGAAAATTATCTGTGTGTACACATGTCAATATCATGTGCTTTGGGGTTAGGGCATTTCATCAAGGTTATGGTGTTAGAAATTAACTCCGAAATGTGTGAGTTTATTTTAGCTCTGTGATTACTTGTGCAGCACTTACATCACTAATGTCGATTTGCTGCTTATTGAACTGGCTGAATCGTGAGCCTGTCTTCCACTAAACACCTATGGATGCAACTGAGGGATGCATTAAAAGTCAGTTTCTAGGTTTGTTTTTTAACAGTACTGTTTTATTCAGAGTATCTCTTCGTTTTCAGAGTAAGCCCCAGTCTCCAAAGAGAATTGCTTCCCTTCCTATCAACAATGGCTCCAAAGAAAATGGGATCCACGAGGAACAAGACCAAGAGCCCCAGGATCTCTTTGCAGGCAAGTATGGACTCAAAACATACTAGGAGTCTTCGCAGTCGCTGAGTTAAAACACACAAGATGTATACTGGAAACATAACTCAGGACTCCTGCGTGGCTCAGTGGTTAAGCGCCTCCCTTCGGCCCAGGGTATGATCCTGGAGTCCTGGGATCGAGTCCCACATAGGGTTCCCTGCATGGAGCCTACTTCTCCCTCTGCCTGTGTCTCTGCCTCTCTCTGTGTCTCTCATGAATAAATAAATAAAATCTTAAAAAAAAAAAAAAGGAAACATAACTCTATGTAAGGATATGCTTGTGGAGGATTCCAAATCATGTAGAATGTAGCCCCTGCTGTCAAGATTCTGACAAGTTTAGGGAGTAAAACCTAAACATACAGATAGTTAGGCTACTACTAAGCAATGTAATTGTGGCAGGAAGAATGCTATAAATACTAAGTGTCTGATCTTCGTTTGAGATCAGACTAAAATAGTATTTTTAGACTTATGACCAAGATACATAGTAAGAATTACATTTTGTGTCATAATCCAAAATGTATACGTACTTATAAAACTGACATAAAAATTTTATTAGGTGACTTGCCTTTGCTACTTTCAGTAAAATCTGAAATATCCTGTTGTTTCTCCTTTCTTTTTTTTTTTTTATTTTATTTATTTATTCATGAGAGACACAGAGAAAGAGAGAGAGAGAGGCAGAGACACAGGCAGAGGGAGAAGCAGGCTCCATGCAGGAAGCCCGACGTGGGACTCGATCCCGGGTCTCCAGGATCATGCCCTGGGCCAAAAGTGGCGCTAAACCACTGAGCCACCCGGGTTGCCCTCTCCTTTCTTTTTTTAATGCTATTTGCAACCCATTGAATTGATTTCACAGTTTACCAATGAGCCGCATCCTGCAATTGAAAAACACTAATATGGAGTAAGGTTTCTTAACCTTGGCACGATTAACATTTTGGGCCCAATAATTTTTTGTTGAGAGGGGCTCCCTGTTCCCAACAGGGGGTGATTCCTCTCCCCCCGACCCCCGGAAGACACTTGGCAATGGTAAGAGATATTTTTGGTTGTCCCATCTGGGAGGGCTATTGGCATCTGGTGGATAGAGGCTATAAATGCTGTTAAACACCCTACAGTGGACAAGACAGCCCCGCCCAAAAAAGAATTATCTAGCTAGGGACTGACGCCTGGGTGGCTCAATGGTTGAGCATCTGCCTTAGGCTCAGGGCATGATCCAGGAGTCTGGGGATCGAGTCCCACATCAGGCTCCCTGCAAGGAGCCTGCTTCTCCTTCTGCCTGTGTCTCTGCCTCTTTCTCTGTGTCTCTCACAAATAAAGTCTTAAAAAAAAAAAAAGAATTACCCAGCTCAAAATGTCAGTAGTGCCCATACTGAGTAATTGATCTAGAATACCCTTGGAAGACTTCCTGGAAGAACGATTTATGTAGGAGAAAAGGAGAAAGGATACATATGGTTGGGCAGAGAATATAAAAGTACATTTGAAGGCCAGTAAAATAAACTTGGTGGGCCAGAGCAGGGAGTTTGTAGAAAAGCCATGGAAGATAAGGCTTTAAATGTAGTTTAGGAGGATTTTAGACATCAGTAATAATTAGTTTGAATTTTATCCTACTGTCAGTTAAGAGCCATTGGCAGTTTTGAATAAAAAAAACTGATATGTTTTTTTTTGTTGTTGTTTTGGTTTTTCTTAAGATTTTATTTATTTATTCATGAGAGACACAGAGAGAGAGAGAGAGGCACAGACACAGGCAGAGGGAGATGCAGGCTCCATGCACGGAGCCCAACGTAGGACTCGATCCCAGGTCTCCAGGATCAGGCCCTGGGCCGAAGGCAGTGCTAAACCACTGAGCCATCTGTGCTGCCCAAGAAAGTGATATGGATAATGTTTTAAGAAGACTGATCTAGTGGGATTATATAAAATGTATTGCAGTAGAGAAAAACTGGATACTTCAGAAAGCAATCACAAATTTGTTCAAGATGAAATGGCGGGGCAGCCTGGGTGGCTCAGCGGTTTAGTGCCGCCTTCAGCCCAGGGTATGATCCTGGAGACCTGGGATCGAGTCCCACGTCGGGCTTCCTGCATGGAGCCTGCTTCTCCCTCTGCCTGTGTCTGTCTGTTCCTTTCTCTCTGTGTCTCTCATGAATAGATAAATAAAGTCTTTAAAAAAAAAAAAAAGAATGAAATGGCAAAGACCAAAAATGAGATGATGTAAGTGGGAAGGGAAAAGTGAAAACTTTTCAAAAGAAAAATCAGCAAAATTTGGTGTTTATGTTTAGATATAATGAACGTCCAAAATTGAGGGTTGAAAACAGAGTCAGGGGCACCCCCGGTGGCGCAGCGGTTTAGCGCTGCTTGCAGCCGAGGGCGTGATCCTAGAGACCCAGAATTGAGTCCCACGTCAGGCTCTCTGTATGGTGCCTGCTTCTCCCTCTGCCTGTGTCTCTGCCTCTCTCTCTCTCTCTCTCTATGAATAAATAAATAAAATATTTTTTTAAAATATTAAAAAAAAAAGAAAATAGAGTCAAAGGTTTTAAGTACAAGGGTTAAGAAGAAAATGGTACCATTGTGAGAACTACATCCTAAAAGAAGAAACTGGGGGCACCTGGGTGACTCAGTTGGTTGAGTATCTGACTCTTGATCTCAGCTAAGGTCTTGATCTCAGAGTCCTGAGTACCATGCTGGGGGTGAGGTGTCAGGGGGCCTACTTAATAAATGAAGGGGTGCCTGGGTGGCTCAGTTGGTTAAGCATCTGCCTTTGACTCAGGTCATGATCTCCAGGTCCTGGGATTGAGCCACATATAGGGCTCCCTCCTCAGCGGGGTGTCTGTTTCTCCCTCTGCCTCAGCCCCTCCCCACCTTATGCTTGCACACTCTCTCTTAAATAAATAAATAAAATCTTTAAAAGGGGGGTGGCCACTTGGTTGGCTCAGCAGTTGAGTGTCTGCCTTTGGCTCAGGTCGTGATCCTGGGATCCTGGGATTGAGTCCCACATCACGTTCCCCACAGGGAGCCTGCTTCTCCCTCTGCCTATGTCTGTGCCTCTCTCTCTGTCGCTCATGAATAAATAAATAAAATCATTAAAAAAAAAATATTTGGGGCAGGGGGGCACCTGGGTGGCTCAGTTAAGCAACTGGCTCTTGATTTCGGCTTAGGTCATTCCTGGGTTTGTGAGATCCAGCCTGGCCTTGGGCTCCGCATTTTTTTTTAAGATTTTATTTATTTATTTATTTATTTATTCATTCATTCATTCATTCATGAGAGACAGAGAGAGAGAGAGGCAGAGACACAGGCAGAGGGAGAGGCAGGCTCCATGCAGGGAGCCTGATGTGGGACTCGATCCCTGGACTTCAGGATCACACCCTGAGCCAAAGGCAGATGCTCAACCGCTGAGCCACCCAGGCATCCCGGCCTCCGCATTCTACACCAAGTCTGCCTGTCCCTCCCCTTCTGCTCCTCTCCCCACTTGTGCCTGCAATCTCTCTCTCTCTCTCTTTCTCTGTTTCTCTCTGTCTCTCTCTCAGATAAATAAAATCTTTTTTTTTTTTAAGATTTTGTTTTTATTTTTTCATGAGAGACACAGAGAGAGGCAGAGACACAGGCAGAGGGAGAAGCAGGCTTCATGCAGGGAGCCTGATGTGGGACTTGATCCCGGGTCTCCAGGATTAGGCCTTGGGCCAAAGGCAGTGCTAAACCGCTAAGCCACCTGGGCTGCCCAATAAAATCTTGTAAAAAAAGGGAGATTCTTTCTCCCTTTCCCTCTGTCTGTCCCCTCTGCTCCCCCATGTGTGCTTCCTCTCTCTCTCTCTCTCTCTCTCTCTCTCTCTCTCTCTCTCAAAATACTAAATCTTAAAAAGGAATACCTAAGATAAGACATTTAGTTTAGGACTTGAGTAGCTTCTCAGAATTTTTAGATATTGATTGTGGAAATTTAAATGTTCTAGTTTTATTTGCCACACAATTAGTTTCGTGATGGAGCCCAAAGGCTTTTCTATCACTCTTTTCAAGTTTTGGCATCTTTGTCCCATGAATGTCAGTAGAAAATGCACAGTTCTTCAAAGGACTTTCAGTAGCAGTTAATAAGCCAAAGATTTTAAATGAGAAGTACCTCCTGTTTCATTTCCAAACTCATTTATTAACTTAATATTTACTTGGGACCTGCATGGTCTGAATATCTTCAACATCTTTCTGCTGGTTACTTGCTCCAAAGAATACTACCATCCTGAGGTATTTATTATGTGTACTTTGTTTTGTTTTGTACTCCCATACCATGGTCAGATTATATTACCATCTCTCTTCTTTTCCTGATAAGAGACCAAGTTCCAAGAGTGTGGCAATCATGTTTGTATACATGATTCACATTTAATGATTAGAACATTCATCTAGGACTTAGTCATGCCTTATAGTCCCCCATCTCTCGTTTCATTTTAGTTCCAAATGAAAGTCTAGAAAAGAAAAGAAATAGGAGCACCTGGGTGGCTTAGTTGGTTAAGCATCTGACTTTGGCTCAGATCATGATCTTGGGGTCCTGGGATTGAGCCCCACATCTGGCTCCCTGCTCAGTGGGGAGTCTGCTTGTTCCTCTCCTTCCTTCCCTGTCCCTCCCCCCATCATCTCTCTGTCTCTCAAGTAAATAAATAAGATCTTTTAAAAAATAAGAAAGAGAAATAGCTTCTTTGAATTCCCTAGAACTAAAATTGCATACCTACTGACTAGGCCAAACTCAAATAGATATTATGTTTTTCTTTACTAAAGAAGAAAAAAACCTTTGGTTTTAGGTTTTGAACTTCTAATGCTATTGCTCTAAGTTGAAAGTGTGTTCTTTTTATTAGTCAAAAAAAATTTGTCTAAAAATGGTGCCTTCTGCTCTTCTAAAGTCCATCTCTAGAACACTTAAGAGAATGAGTTGTTTTGCTCAACTGAGATGTTCTCAGATAGACAAAGGTGGCTTTTAAGCACCATTTTTCACAACTATGGACTATTAGAAGGATTTTCAGATATTACATCTTTTTATCCCCCTTGGACAAATGTATCAAACATAACTTTGCAAGATGATCTAAAAACTGTTATTGTAAAGAGTTATTAGGGATCCCTGGGTGGCGCAGCGGTTTGGCGCCTGCCTTTGGCCCAGGGCGCGATCCTGGAGACCCGGGATCGAATCCCACGTCAGGCTCCCGGTGCATGGAGCCTGCTTCTCCCTCTGCCTGTGTCTCTGCCTCTCTCTCTCTCTGCATGACTATCGTAAATAAAAAAAAAAGTTATTAAACTGCTAAAACAACATTGCCATTCTCAGGTGTAGCAAATAGTACCTTTTCCCAAGTGTTACTATCTTTGTATATTGGGTCTATTTTTTCTAGCTTACCAGTTTTCCTTTCTTTGATGTCATTTTTTGCTGTCAATACACCCACATTTAGCTGAACTTACTCCTCTTTTCCAAAGTTCTAGCAGGAATAAGTAGAGTTTATATAAGATTTTAAAGGAATATTCCTCAGAGTAAAATAAGTTGGTACGCTGACTTTGTAGTCTTTTGCTTAATATCTGGTTCTTGCCTAAATCTTAGGGAGGAGAGGGTAGCCAAGTAGCTATAAGAAGTGGGAGAGATTCTTCCATCAGGCCTGTGCTAGAGTACTTCCCTTGCTGTCTTCCCCTTTTATCCATGTAAATTCTTACTTTTTCTTGTTCTGTTTACCTGGACCAGATTTCACAACTCTTGTTCTCAGTTTGAAAATGTGTAAGTATTGAGAGTGGTTGCTATTGTTTTTGTCTCTTAGCTTATAGAACTGAAATTTAGCCATCAAAAACCCTTTATTGATCTTCATTATAGAATATCAACTTTTGTTTTAGATGCCACAGTGGAGCTCTCTCTGGACAGCTCACAAAATAATCAGAAGAAGGTGCCAGCCAAAATGCTCATTTCTCTTCCTCCACAGGAAGCCACAAATTCTTCTAAGCCCCAGCCAAGCTATGAAGAGGTGAGAATTTGTGCTATTGGTCTTGTTTCTTTTGGATTTTTAGGACTGTGCTGCCAGTCTGAAGTTCAGTTGACTATGAACCTTGAGAAAATATTTATGATTCTTGAAGAATGAAGAAGGCATTTTTCATTAATGGACAGTGAGAATCCCATGAAGAACTCTTTCTTGGGGCATCTGGGTGGCTCGGTCAGTTAAGTACCTGCCTTCAACTTGGGTTGCAATCCCAGGGTCCGGTGATAGGGCCTTGCATTGGGCTCCCTGCTCAGTGGGGAACCTGCTTCTCCTGCTCCCTCTGCTGTTCTCCCAGCTTGTGTTCTCTGATTCTCTCTCTCTCAAATAAACCTTAAAACCAAACAGAACACCTCTTGGGTAGAGTATCACCCAGAGGATAGCACAGAGGCTTCGATGAACACTAATGATAATTAGTATTTGAAGCTTCCATATTCAAGAGTATAGGCTTTCCTTATTGCCTCCGTAGCCCAACAGAGGCAAATCTTACAAAATCTAGTAATTATGCATTATGATCAAAATAACGTTGTTGTTTTTTTAAAGATTTTATTTATTCATGAGATACACACACAGAGAGAGAGAGGCAGAGGGAGAAGCAGGCTCCTAGCAGGGAGCCTGATGTGGGACTCAATCCCGGGTCTCCAGGGTCACGCCCTGGGCTGAAGGTGGCGATAAACCACTGAGCCACCTGGGCTGCCCCAAAATAAGGTTTTAAGAGAATAGATGTAACAGACTTATAAGCAGACTTCAAAGTGTGAAAGTTGATTCCTTGGGATTTGGGAAATGGACAGAACTAAACTGATGTATAGAAGGTTATAGCTTGATGATGTTTTTTTGATACATAGTAATTGCAGGGTAAAATTCATAGCCTTTTTGGTGTATTAATTTTCATGGTTTGTCTTCTCTTTAAAAGCTAGAGGAAGAAGAACAGGAAGACCAATTTGATTTGACAGTTGGTATAACTGATCCTGAAAAGATAGGTAAGTATACTTGGGACTCCTTCTGATATTAGGATGTGGCCAAGGAGAGCATAGCTAGCTAATTTCTACACAGTTACCTCTAGAGCGAATTAGCCAACATGAAGTGTTTCATCATTATCTTTCCTGTAAGATTATACCCCTTGCTATGCTTTTAAGGCCAGAAATAGCAGTTACCTAGTACTTTATTAGGCTTTTCTTTGCTTTTGGGGAAAAAAAATCAGAGACATAAATACCACTAGAATCCCTTTTAAAAGTTTTTTATTTCTTTTTAGAGAGAGCACACATGAGCAGGGAGGAGGGGACAGGGCAGTGGGAGAGGGAGAGGGAATCTTAAGCAGGCTCCACACCCAGCACCGAGCCCAACACGGGGCTCAGTCTCACTGAGATCATGACCTGAGCTGAAGTCAAGAGTCCGTCTCGGGAATCCTGGGTGGCTCAGTGGTTGGGTGCCTGCCTTTGGCTCAGGTCTTGATCCCGGGATCAGGGATTGAGTCCAGCATTAGGCTCCCTCTGCCTTGTCTCTGCCTCTCTCTCTCTTTCTCTCTCTCTCTGTCTGTGTCTCTCATGAGTAAATAAATAAATCTTTAAAAAAAAGAAAAAGAAAAAAGTCCATTTCTTAACTGACTGACCCAACCAGGGGCCCCCAAAATTTTATTTTTAAGTATTCTCTACACCTAATGTGGTGCTTAAAACCTACAACTCTGAGATCAAGAGTCACATGTTCCACTGACTGAGCCAGCCAGGCACCTCAGAATCTTTTTTTAAGAACCCAACTGTTAAAAAAAAAAAAAAAAAAAAAAAGGACCCAAATGTTGCTTTCTCCCACAGAATTGATGAGACCATTTTACTCTTTTTTTTTTGAAGTCATACATTCCATTTAAGTATCCTAAAAGAGGGGCATCACATTAATATGATATAATCCAATCACATTTGAATTCCATGTGAGCCTGGGTGGCTCAGCGGTTTAGTGCCTGCCTTCGGCCCAGGGCATGATCCTGGAGTCCTGGGATAGAGTCCCATGTCGGGCTCCCTGTGGGGAGCCTGCTTCTCCCTCTGCCTTTGTCTCTGCCTCTCTCTGTCTCTCATGAATAAATAAATCTTAAAAAAAAGAAAAAAGAGGGGATCCTTGGGTGGCGCAGCGGTTTGGCGCCTGCCTTTGGCCCAGGGCGCGATCCTGGAGACCCGGGATCGAATCCCATATCAGGCTCCCGGTGCATGGAGCCTGCTTCTCCCTCTGCCTGTGTCTCTGCCCCTCTCTCTCTCTCTCCTCTCTGTGACTATCATAAATAAATAAATTCAAAAAAATTTAAAAAAAAAAAAAGATAAGTATCCTAAAAGACATGTTCTAAAATTTGAGAGTACTGAATTTGTTTTTCCTCCAAGAAGTTTGGAATTCTTGTTATTTATCATGCACTCTTGATAGCCTAAAGAAGTATGTAAATCTGCATCTCTCTTTGATCAGTTAAAAACTAAAGGACTTAGGTTGAATTTGGGTCATATTTGGGGGACGTTAGATTTTCAGAAAGCACAGTGCTTAACTTTAGCTAGAACTTAGATTTACTGGATAGCCTTCCCATGTTCTAGGGTTGTAAAAGCTACTAATGAGTAGAGAGCAACAGGCCTCAACTTTCCTTGTTCTGTACTTGCTCCCTGAGAGAAGAGACTTTACAAAGCTTTTCCTCCTAAACAGGGATGATGTTTATATGGTTAAGAGGAAAATGTAGGGATCCCTGGGTGGCGCAGCGGTTTGGCGCCTGCCTTTGGCCCAGGGCGCGATCCTGGAGACCCGGGATCGAATCCCACGTTGGGCTCCCAGTGCATGGAGCCTGCTTCTCCCTCTGCCTATGTCTCTGCCTCTCTCTCTCTCTCTCTCTGACTATCATAAATAAATAAATAAATAAATAAATAAATAAATAAATAAATAAATAAATAAATAAATAAATAAATAAATAAATATTAAAAAAAAAAAAGAGGAAAATGTAATTTCCAACCCCATATAAAGTGTAATTAGACTTTACGCCAAAATGGTTTGTCGTTGAACTGTTGAGTTTGACTTTTCCTAGACTGTTGCCCTGGTAGGATGTTTATGAGTATCTTATACAGTTTCCTCATCCAATAATAGAGGAAACTGAGGACCAGTAGGTGAAATGCAGCTTTCTTTTCAGGTCTCAGTATGGTCCATGGTAGAGCCTGGACCAGTACTTTGGATTACATGTACAGGATTATTTTTTGCCTCTAATATTTTAAGTATTCCATATAAGCAGATTGATTTTATTTATTTATTCATGAGAGACACAGAGAGAGAGAGAGGCAGAGACACAGGCAGAGGGAGAAGCAGGCTCCTACCAGGGAGCCCGATGTGGGACTTGATCCCGGGTCTCCAGGATCAGGCCCTGGGCTGAAGGCAGCGCTAAACCACTGAGCCACCGGGGCTGCCCAAGCACATTGATTTTTAAGCTAGTTATTATCTGCTTTAAATCCTTGGTAGAGTAAGAAAAATTGTAAGTCAATAATATTAATTGTTTTAATATTTAAAAATCATTATATTTAAGAAAATTAATAAAAGTCATGATGTTTAATAAACCAGGAGAGGGAGGAAGTATATTAGTTTCCTAGGACTTCTATAACAAAATACTAGTAACAGGGTGGGTTAAAACAACAGGAATATATTTGCTCAGAATTCTGAGGGCCAGAATTCTGAAATCATGGTGTCAGCGAGGCCATCCTCCCTCTGAAGGCATTAGGGAAGGTTGTTCCATGCCTCTCCTGGCTTCTGGGAGCCTCAGGTATTCCTTGGCCTATAGATGTATCACCCCAGTCTGTGCCTTCACTGTCACATGGCATTCTCCCTAAGTGTCTTCACGTTGTCTTCTCTCTTCATGTGTCTCTGTGTCCACATTTTTCTTTATAAGGACACCAATCAAATTGAATTAGGGCCCACACCCTCTGACCTCATTTTCACTTTACTTCTATAAAGACCCTGTTTCCAAATAGTTTCTGAGATACTGGGGCATTAAGACTTCTTTCTTTTCTTTCTTTTCTTTTCTTTTCTTTCTTTCTTTCTTTCTTTCTTTCTTTCTTTCTTTCTTTCTTTCTTTTCTTTCCTTTCCTTTCTTTCCTTTCCTTTCCTTTCCTTTCCTGTCCTGTCCTGTCCTATCTTATCTTATCTTATCTTATCTTATTTATTCATGAGAGACACAGAGAGAGAGAGGCAGAGACATAGGCAGAGGCATCAGGCTCCATGCAGGAAGCCCGACATGGGACTCGATCCCAGTGCCCTAAGCCAAAGGCAGACACTCAACCGCTGAGCCACCCACGCATCCCCACGTTAGGACTTTGAACGTATCTTTTTAAGAGGACAGAATTCTACCCATGACAGTAATTTAAACATCCTGTGGATCAGATTTATTTAAACACATATTACTTTGGTGAATAGCTTTCATTCTCTGGTGCTACAGTCTAGATTCTTAGTCATGTTGATGCCAAGAAAACAGCTACTTAAAGCATATTCATATTCAAGACCTGATCTTGGGGCACCTGGCTGGCTCAGTCAGTAGTGCATGCAACTCTTGATCTCCGAGTCATGTTCATTCCTACACACATCTAAATAAGAAACCAGGGTTCCTGGATGACTCAGATGGTAGAGCATGCACCTGTTGATCTTGGGGGTCATAAGTTAGAACCCCACATTGGGTGTAGAGATTACTTAAAACCTTAAAAAAATTAATTAATTGGGACACCTGATGGTGCAGTTGGTTAAGCAGGCAGCTCTTGGTTTGGGCTCAGGTGGTGATCTCAAGATTGTGAGATCAAGCCCTGTGCCAACACAGAGTTTGCTTCAGATTCTCTCTCCCTCAGCCCCCCATTTGTGCACATGTGCACACACGCTTGCAGCACTCTCTCCCTCTCTAAAATAAGTAAATAGGGATCCCTGGGTGGCGCAGCGGTTTGGCGCCTGCCTTTGGCCCAGGGCGCGATCCTGGAGACCCGGGATCGAATCCCACGTCGGGCTCCTGGTGCATGGAGCCTGCTTCTTCCTCTGCCTATGTCTCTGCCTCTCTCTCTTTCTCTCTCTGTGACTATCATAAATAAATAAAAATGTAAAAAAAAAATAAAAATAAAATAAGTAAATAAATCCTTTTAAAAATAAATTAAAAGGGATCCCTGGGTGGCGCAGCGGTTTGGCGCCTGCCTTTGGCCCAGGGCGCGATCCTGGAGACCCGGGATCAAATCCCATGTCGGGCCCCCGGTGCATGGAGCCTGCTTCTCCCTCTGCCTGTGTCTCTGCCTCTCTCTCTCTGTATGACTATCGTAAATAAATAAATAATAAATTAATTAATTAATTAAAATGCCACTTCTGCTTTTTAGACTCTTGGTAATTTATATATGTCATCTTCAACTTTCTGAAATTATTTAGGAAATAAGCATAAATTTAAAACTGCTATATTACTAGTCCATTTCCATATTTTATGAACTCTGTATATACATGCAGGTATGTTTTTTCTAACTCATTAGCTCAGTAAAAGCAGGTAATATGCTGGCAAACTGAAGATCCTGCTTTGCTGTCATGTTTTATGTATGTTTGCACTTAGGCTTTCCTTAACTGTAGGCACTAAATTATGGGATTGACCTTTGGAAATCTGACTGTGCCTTGTGAATGAAGTTTTGAATACTTTTTCTATGAAGTAAATTTAGATTTTTTTTCCTTTTAACAATGATAAATATTCTTAGCAGTGTTAAGCAATGTAGTATAAGTGGTTTAGAAGAGAACTAACAGTGGTAATTGATATGCAGTAATTTCTAAGCTTTAGCTTATGATTTCTGTTTCATACACACCCTTTTGGTAGGATTAGAGAGGTAGGAAACACAAGCTCTCTATTCCCATATAATTTCCAACTTCTCTGTGTACTTTTTAAAAAAGCAGGCATTCCTAGCCATGTCATTGGAACCAAGTTGCAGTATGTAACCCTGTTGATCCGATACTTCACCACATTCCCCTGTGCCCTCTCTCTCTCAGTACCAGTTCAGGAGCTTAAGCAGCTAGTAATGGTTGACCTAGGTTTTCCTGTTTGGTGTAGGGAAAGAATTGAGGGGTTGGGAAGAAGGGAACAAAACCAACCCAAAACACCAGATTCTAGTGCTAGAGCTTTGTTTGAGTCCAGTGTGTCTTTTCACTGCTCAGGGAGTCAATGGTGCCTTTATGTCCCTAAGTGGTGTAGGTCAAGACACTACCACGGAGAAAAACAATTGCTTGAATCCCAAATTATTTAACAGTCAAAGACTTTTTCAGAAAAATAATTCCTCCAGGAAAGAGATTTGTGTGACATCAGGCAGCCGGAGCGTCTTCCTGCCAGGCCCTTTGCTTGGGTGAACATGCTAGATGAGAGAGGTTAGTGTCCCCCAGCACCAATGGAGGGATCCGTGACAGTATTTCTGAAAGAGCAAACCGAGCCCAGAGCTAGCTTAGGGTAGAACTGCTTGTTTCCTTTTACATCAGTTGCTTCCTTCTCCTCCTCCTGCTTTATACAGCAAGAGAATTGTTTGGTTTTAGACAGATGTGTATAACCAGCCCAAATATTGGCATGGCAACAACCGATGGATTGTGAGTATCCAGTGCTGCTTTGTGGAGGGTATGAATGGAGCCTACCCTTGGAACAGGGGGATGACTCTCTTGTCTAATTCATCCTGGGGCCCTGCCAGCATCTGTGGGGGCATAATATGTAACACAGAGACCCTAAGGCAAGATTATAGGATAGTATATAAAGCTTGGAGATGAAAGAAGTATCCCTTCTTATGTAGGACTTCTGTGGTTTACGATTCCTGGTGAAATGTGAGCAAGATCAGCACTGCTTTGGTTTATAAAATAATCCTCTTGTGCTCTGTTGTTCTCCACAGGAGATGGTATGAATGCTTATGTAGCCTACAAAGTTACAACACAGGTGAGTCCAAGTGACCCTACTGTGACTGACTTAATAGACGTGGGTGTTTATACCAAGAAGGTCATTATTCAGATTATTTCTGGGTATTTCTTTAGTTTCTTTGCCAACATCCTCCTTCAAGTTTACTCAAGATGGAGCAAGCCTGCATCCCTTTGGTAATCTCATCTGAGCCTTTCCACTTTTCTTCCAGAGAGCTAACACTTCAGTTTGAAACTTTGTAAGTTTTATTAAGACATGTGGTATATCTGATATATCCCCATCCCTCTTAGGAACTTTGTGGTTTAGAACTAGTTTGGTGGATTGCCCCAGACTGTATCACCTGTTTAAAAATCATCACTTCTTATGAGGTTCCCTATGTGGAGCTTCTTTTAATACTTTCCCTACCTTTTTACCCCTAGAGTCTGGTCTTCCTTTTTTATATAACATTAATGCATACAAAACTTACACAATGTTGTATGCAGGTTATGAAGCATAAAAAATGAAGCCCCGAACCTACCACCAGTCTTAAGATGAGTACCATTGAATCTACCTGCGTGTTTCTCCCTGTCATATCCCCTCCCTCACACCTTAAGGGCAGCCACTCTCCTGAGTCTCTCATTTCCTTTATAAAGAGTCTTCACATATGTATCTTTAAACAAAATACTGTTTTGCTTTGTTCTTAAGTTTCATAAAAACGGCATCGTGCTGAAAATAGTGCTTTCTTTACTAGCATTGTTTCTCAGACCCATCCATGTTGTGTGTAGCTGTAGTTAGTCCATTGTGTGATTATAGCATAATATATTTCTCCATTTTCCTGTTGTGAATATTTGGCATGTTTCCAGTTTTTGTAATTATGAACCATGACCTTTCTTGCACATGTCTCCTAGTATACACATAGAAGAGTATCTCTAGAGTATATACCCAGAAGTAGTCCCCTGGGTCATAGATAGGGCAAATGTTGAGGAAAGGGAATACAAACGTTTGTTTGTTTGTGGAATACAAATTTTTTCAAAGCCCTTGTACCAATTTATACTCCCATTGGCATATAAAAAATTCTCCTTTGATATACTTCTTTGCCAACAATTGGCAAGGACAGCCTCCTTAAATTTTCCCTGCCTGGTGAGTATTAAATGGTCTGTCATCATGATGTAGGCCTAATCTTTTTTTACTAGAAGTCTCCTTCATATTTATTGTCTCACTGCTATTTGTTGGCCTGCCACCTGTAAGTTCCAGATTCAGTGACACCTTAGAAGCTAAAATGTCTACATTGTGGACATTTCACTTAATCCTCCCCCTTTAGTCTGTCTTTAGTTTCACTGCTTTAATTCCAGGAACCAATACCCTTAATTAAGCAGTGCAAGATGAAATAGTTACAGGTGACCATAGATTTCCACTTTAAACTAGATTTCAACATCAGTTTCCTTTTAGAGGAAGGGTTCCTAACCTGGATGTGGAACTGGATTTCAATTTAGTTAGTTGCCTTTATAATCCTATACATTTTATGTTATGCATTTAAAATCCTTATTCTAAAAAAAATAAAATAAAATAAACAAAAATAAAATCCTTATTCTGAGAAGGGCTCTGTAGACTTCCAGACAGCCAGAGGGGGACTATAGTTCAGAAGGTTTAAGAATCTCAGCTTTGAAAAAAGTTGTTTGCTGGGTAGCTAAAGGACAGGGATCTAGGAAGTAGATTCCTTTCACTTAAGCCAGATGACTTTAAAGATCTATACTCATCTTCTATTTGAAATGAAATTGCCTTGTGTTTTTTCTGTCCCCAAGACGAGCTTACCAATGTTCAGGAGTAAACAGTTTGCAGTGAAAAGAAGATTTAGTGACTTTCTGGGTCTTTATGAGAAGCTTTCGGAGAAACATTCTCAGAATGGCTTTATTGTCCCTCCTCCACCTGAGAAAAGCCTAATAGGTAAGCTATGTGGTCTTTAATTCTTCCTGGATTTTTTTCCTTTGCATTCCTTCTGTAGTATAGTTTCTAATTAGTATAAGAGACTACTATTTTTTAAAACATTTTGTTTAGGTATCCCTGGGTGGCTCAGCGGTTTGGCGCATGCCTTTGGCCCAGGATGCGATCCTGGAGTCCCGGGATGGAGTCCCACGTCGGGCTCCTGGCATGGAGCCTGCTTCTCCCTCTGCCTGTGTCTCTGCCTCTCTCTTTCTCTCTCTGTCTATCATGAATAAATAAAATCTTAAAAAAAAAAAGATTTTTGTTTAAACCAGATTTTATTTATTTATTCACGAGAGACACAGAGAGAGAGAGAGAGAAGCAGAGACACAGGCAGAGGGAGAAGCAGGTTCCATGCAGGGAGCCTGATGTGGGGACTCGATCCCGCATCCCAGGATCACGCGCTAAGCCAAAGGCAGATGCTCAACTGCTGAGCCACCCAGATGTCCCAAGAGACTACTATTAAAAGTGTGGAATCTTATGGTCAGGAGATAGTTTCAGCATTTTCCTATAAATCACATAAGGTCTAGAGAAATAGCGTGTTTTGACATGTATTCTTCCTTCAGGTACAGTAGGAAGCTCTGCTTTGAGCTTTCACAGCTCTGTGTGTATGGGGGTGTGTGTGTGTGTGTGTTGTGTTGTGTTGTGTTTATGTTTGTATTGGTATCAGGAGTCTTAAATGATTCCTGTTTCCTCCAGACTGAAATGTTCTAAGTAAGATGGGGGTCCGAGGGAGCCAAGGAACATTCCCATTGCCATCAATTGATGTTTGTTAATCTATACTCAGAGTCCTGTGGCCCTCTTTTAGAAAATGTATAATGTTCTGCAAGTCTCAGAGTTTAGAACCTTCAACACTTTGCGTCTAGTTCAAAATATGACTCTCGTGTGAAGAACCTTTTGTTCATGCACCTCATAACATAAAAGTGTAGAAGTGGCCTTTGGTTATTTTTTGTAATGCTGTTCTCATTGCCTTTCCTTCTGTGGGCTTTTCTACAGGTGTTTGTTTGTTTGTTTATTTTTAATTCACAATGATTTAAAGTTATTTTTACTTTTTAAATTCCACTCCAGGAATGACAAAAGTAAAAGTTGGGAAGGAAGATTCTTCTTCTGCAGAATTTCTTGAAAAACGGAGGGCTGCTTTAGAAAGGTAAGTGCCATACAACCATTTTCCTGAATGATATAAGAACAGGAAAACAGGTAAGAACCTGAAATTGAGACTTAATTATGAAACATTCACTGGAGTTAGTAGAGATGAGAGTCAACTAACTGAATTAAAGACTCACACTTCTGTAAGCTCTCCAACATTTCCTAAGTCTCTGATCTTCCCACCTTAAGAACAGACCATCTTTTCTTTCCTCATCCCGAATGAGCAGTTAAGGGTATTCCCTTTGACAATCATATATGACTGGCTCTGAGGTCTCTTTCTGAGCAGTTATGTTTCTTCCCTTTTTAGAAATATGTGAAGAGTATGAATTTCAATGTGTTTAAAAGCAGAGTCACATTCAAGTGCCTTATCTGAGGACATCTTAAAGTAATGAAAGATGTACCCTTGCCAACACTATATAACACCCCAAACCTTGTGAGGCCAGGTTGACTAACCAGATAACTGTTAATACCCTGTAGGTACCTTCAAAGGATTGTGAATCATCCTACCATGTTACAGGACCCTGATGTCCGGGAGTTCTTGGAAAAAGAAGAGGTTAGTATTATACAAACTGAATTGCATAATTTATATCTGCCTCTAGTGAAATGAAACTAGTTCATTCAACAAACATTTGAGCACTTTACATGCATTTGGCTTAATACAAGACTATATTCTAATTTGTAAGCCCTCAAGAATTACAGGTATTTTTCAGCCTTTGAAATAAAAAGTTCTGCCTATAATTGAAAACAACTGGTTTTAAAGGTCAAACTGCAGCCTAGTTTTGTCTTACTGGAACAACACAATGATCTACTTGGCAAGTCCTTTGCATGTCTTTCATAGGTTACTTATTAGGCTCAAATTGAATGCTTATTTTGTGCCAGGAGCTGAGAGGCGTTGGTTCAAAACCACTTACCACAGACCACAGAACTGCCATGTAGTGAAAGTGTTGATTGAAATAGACCATCTTTTTTACAAGCTATGCATAGTCTTTTCATAATTGTGAAAAGTTGGAGATGGCCCAGTTGCTAAAAATTGAAGAAGTAAGTGAAATATATCAATACAACATATACTTTATTCTTATCATTAACAGAAAGTATACAGAAATGTTTATATATATTCATTGAAAATATATATTAAAAAAATTACGTGGAGTGCCTGGCTGGCTTAGTTGGTGAAGCATGTGACTCTTGATCTCAGGATCTTGAGTTCTAGTGTGAGTTCCAGCTCTACATTGTGTGTAGAGCTTACTTTAAAAGAAATTATAAAAAGTGAAACTTGAAACAGCATGTATATAGAGCTATGGGAACATGTTAGTCATTAAAGATGGAAAACAAACACTGGAATGAAATAATGTATCTCATATGAAAGAAAACTAGAAATAAGTTACTGACAAGGTGGAGTTATCATTGTGTATTTGTTTTTTCATTTTGTTTTTACTTTTAAATTTTTATTTAATTTGCATATGATATGCATTATTCTAATGAAGAAAATGGTACTAAGTATATCGAATTCCCCCCACCAAATGAAATTTTTTTAATTAAAATTTCTTTGCTTAATGCAAAAATCTTTTCATTCCTCCTCTGGGATTTCTATATATTTTTTTCCCTTTTTGGCCCCTCATCCCCATGTTATAACCCCTAAAACAGAATTTGTCTACAACAGCACTGTTGATACTTTGGGCTGGATCATTCTTCGTTCTAGAGAGCTGCCCTGTGCATTATAGGCGTAGTAGCATCCCTGGCCTCTATTCACTAGACTCCAATAGCATCCCCTCCCCAGTTTTAATGACCAAAATTATCCGCAGCAATGGCCAAATGTCCCCTAGGGGGCAAATGTGCCCCAAGTGAAAACTATTGCCCTAACAGCCCTGAGCACTAAAATCTAATTTTTCAGCATGGTATATACTATATTTACTATAGATTCTTTGGGATCCCTTCCATACCCTAGGAAAGTTGTGGTAGGGCTGAACCAACTAAATTGTTCTTAAATGTTTGACATGCTTGGCTTAATAAGGTCATCCCTAAAAATACCCTCAATCTGAATAAATAACACTCCTGTCCTTAGTCCTTTGTTCACTGAGAAAAATCCAAATGGAATCACAGCACAGCTTCAAAGCTTCTCAAGACCTTTCATCCAGTATTGTCCAGAGTATACTAATCCAAAGGATCTTTTAACAAAAGCATGTTTGATATTTAAGCAGTTTGTGCCTGGGATGGCAGACAGTCTCAACACAAGGTCATCAGACCACATAACAATCTTACTCTCCTGTCTTTCTGCATATTGTATCAAAAGCTGAACATTTTCCTAATTCTGTAGGTAACATAGAATTATGTGTAACATAGCCCTTTTAATTTTTTTTTTCTGTGTGTGCTAGTTACAGATGTGTCTAACTCCTTTGAAAACAACAATCTACAGTTCAAATAATTTGTTTGGCAAGTTTTGGGCATGCCATCTGATGGATACTAATTCTTCTGAACCTAAAATAGGGGCAGCAGATAACATGCCATCCCGCCTTCTTGGTCTTATAGCTGCCACGCGCCGTTGGTACCCAGACATTGAGTGGCGCTGGTCTCCTCAAGATGTTCAACAAAGCCACAGATGCAGTCAGTAAAATGACCATCAAGATGAATGAATCAGACATTGTGAGTAGCCCAATTCCTCTCACCTTCCCCGGCCCCATCCCTCCCACCTTCCCCTGCCCCATCAATCTTATGGGTGAGAAACCCTGAGGAGTCCTGAATTTCTCAGAGACTTTCCTTTAAAGATAATTCGGTCCCTTTTTTAAAAAACTGCTAAGGAAATGCTGTGCTGTACACCTATATGAGTCCCCTCCATTAAAGATCTGGGCTTGTGTGTTTCAGTGGTTTGAGGAGAAGCTCCAGGAAGTAGAGTGTGAAGAGCAGCGCTTACGAAAACTGCATGCTGTTGTAGAAACTCTAGTCAACCATAGGAAAGGTAACAAGATCGGAAATACACTTGGAGCTGGGGGAAATTGATGTCTCCATTGAGCTGGAGATGGGAGGGCATCCTGTTCCCAAGTTTATCAGCCATTCAAGTTGAAATTCTCAGCCTACCTAGTCCTTGATGTTCTCATCAAAAAAGTATGCCCTGCACCTCCTGCCTCAGTCACTGTAAGCATTGACTTTTTCTACCTGGAACATGGACTTAAGCTGATGTGGTTTGAATTGGTGGCTTATATCTGAAGTGATGTCACACATTTTAGCTACATGGTCAAATTGGCAATACATAAATTCAGGGAAACCATGTATGTCTCCTTACCTTGGCCTAAGAGCTAGTAAAATTTGCCAAGTTTGAATGCTCTGCCTTAAACATGGCAATAAACAGAAATCCAAACAGGCAGAGAACAGTTAGAATGAAGGCAATGTAAGACTTGGCAAGATATGGCCTAGTCCATGGGCCACATCAGGCCCTGACCTACTGCTACAAGCTAGGAATGGTTTTTACATTTTTAAAGGGATGAGTGAAAAAAGAGAAAATGAGACCAGATGTGGTCCTCAAAGCTTAAATCATCTGGCCCTTCACAGAAAAAGCTTGTCCTGCTCTAGAAGATGTAAGAGTAGGCAATGTGCACAGACTATTAACAATGAGCTTTAAAAAAAATTAAAATTAAAAAAAAATAAATAAACCAGTGAGCTTTAACATGAAAATTAAAATCAGTTGGCCTGTTGGTATTAACTGGCCCCTAGTTCTCAGGAATATTGGAACTGCTTCCTCCAGGTAGGCCTCAACCTAGTGAAACTTAGGCCAGCAGGTGCCTCTCCCTGCTCGTGTGACCACACTGCACTCCCCTCACTCTTTACGTACAGCCATGGTATAAGTGACTGGGTTGCAGAGTCCCCTGTTGTTAGATACACAGAGGCAGGTTTGCTAAGGCATGCCATGTGGTGCCAGCTGACTTGTCCCTTTTCCTTGAGATCAGAGGCCTCTGCTGTCTTCTTCCAGAGCTAGCGCTGAACACAGCCCAGTTTGCAAAGAGTCTAGCCATGCTTGGGAGCTCTGAGGACAACACAGCATTGTCACGGGCACTCTCCCAGCTGGCTGAGGTGGAAGAAAAAATCGAGCAGCTCCACCAGGAACAGGCCAACAATGACTTCTTCCTCCTTGCTGAGCTCCTCAGTGACTACATTCGTCTCCTGGCCATAGTCCGTGTAAGCCTGTTTCCTTTCCTCTTTCTCCCCCCGTCCTTGATTTAATTTGTCTTTCTTTTGCTTTTCCCGTCTCCAAGAAGCTTCCATCCATTATAGCTGAAAATAGGTGTAACTTTCTTCTACTCTCAAGAGAGACGGTATCTTATGAACCAAAAAATCCATTTAACTGTTAGCTAGTTATCACTGAGTCATTTTGAGGCCTACAGTCAGTTTTTCAAATGCATTTAGAGAAAAGACTATTCTTGAATTTCCAAGTAGGCCCCTCATTATTATTGAAGCTGGACAGTGCTCCTTTCATCAAACAAGGTTTATGATAGGCCTGCTGTCTTGGCTCCCTGGAGCAGTGACTTCCTCAGTCCTTTGGTCTTTGCCTCCTTAACAGTAAGCAGCAGCTTTGCCCTGGTACTGGCTTCACTTGTCCCTCTGTTGTGGGCAGTCAGGTAATTACACGGAACCAGCTTGGCATTGCATGGAGGAGTGCGGCCAGGGAGTAGAGAGAGCTTGTCACCAGAGTCCTTTGTGTGCTGTGCTGACCACTCTGGTAACACAGCAGCCTACCTCTTCTCCTGGTAACCAGGGCAGCCTGGTTTCCCATGACCTTTTAGAGCAGCCAGGGAAGCTCCCTTGGGCAGTGGTATTAGCTCTTGCATGGCCTCCCCGAGATAGAGAAAGAGCCAGGAGAGATCCTGGCACCTGTCTTATAAGGGGCCTTACATGGAACCAGCTTGGGACCAGAATGAGCCTCTGAGTTAGAACAGAGCCACCCTCACTCCTCGTCTCCAGCATCTCCCCCACTAGGGAGCTCCCGTGTTGTCAAGAACCGAGCTGCTTCCAGGGCTCTCGTTTCCTCCATGGTAGAGTTGCTCAATATAGCTTGTGAGGTTGTTCATTGCCCTCTCCTGCTCACCCCAGAGTGATAAGAGGTTGGAAAAATAACCTGCTTTGGAATTCCTAGATCTGGTCAGACTACAAAGACTGGAGCGCCACCTCAGGGCCCTCTCTGGGGAGTTTTCAGAGGGGGCATTGTTTGGAGTCTCAGGAGAGCACAGCTCTAGGATGTGACCTCCTAGGCTGGGTGAGCCCCTATGGACAGTGGGGAGAGAGGCCCAGCCTAGAGCTCCATGCAGAGGCTGGGGCAGCATGTCTGTGCAGAACTTCAAGCTGGGATTTTTCTCAGACTCTTCACCTGCCCTTCTCATAATCATGAGCTGGCAGTGGTGTAGAGGAGATGAACAAATATTTCTCTTTTGCTTTTCCCTGAACCTGGAGCTGCACTGCTCTTAGCCCAGAGGTTTAGGCTTGAGTCTTATATGGATATGAAGTTACCCTTTACCCATCCTTTGACATTGAGCTGCTAAGAAATTACAAGTGAGCACAAGTGACAGTCAGTGCCAGGAAAGGTGAATTTAGTGGCATTCACTCCTCAAGTTTCAAACTTTGGCACTATGGAGACCTAGGAAACATCCAGGGAACTTCCTGTAGTGAAGGAGAGCAAATGGAACAGGGGTAGGAGTCTGGCCCCACACACAGACCTCTCATCCAGGCTGCCTCTTGAAGCCTATTAAGCCAGTGGAGGTGGTACATGGTGTGGATAGGCCAACAACTATCCTCTGGAGATGTGATCAAGGGACTGGAAACAGGGAAAACCAGCAGTGGGCCTGTGAACCTAAATAGCCTGCAACAGTTGAGTCTATAGATGAGATGGAAGCTGTGTGTCCCCTGGTAGCTTCAAGCATTCATTTAAAGATCTGTTAAACTAACCCGTATACTATTGCACATATATAATAATAGGGTTGCTTCCTTAGATTGACCTTACCTGGTATATCTCCCAGGCTGAGGTAGGTCTCCAATTATGTTACTATGTTATAGGTCCCCTGCTTGTTTTCTCTGTATTTTGCGTATGTCTAATTATTAATTGATAATTATTAATATAATGTCAGTGGTTTCTATTAGATTATAAGTTCCATTAAAAAGCAGAACCACGTGTTTCATACCCCAGTATATCCTTAGTTCCTGGCATATGGCAGGAGTTCAGGAAAAGTGTGTAGAACCATGGACTCATCTGAGACAGGCAGTTTGGGAGCCATAGTGCTGGGCATTGGCATCAGGCCACCTACTGTGCTCCCAGCCATCCAGCCTTGGGAGTCACATGAAGCAGCATGGCACTGGCCTACTGGAGGCTTGGAAAGGAGTCTTACCCAAGCTTGTGCTGTTTGATGTTAAGCTTCCAGCTGGGCACTAACATGTGGCTGCAGAACCTGTCCTTGCTCGGTCCTTCTCTAGCACAGCTATTGGAGAGAGCCAGCCCTTCTACCCTTACCCCCTCCTTCAGGCTGGAGCCAGTGGAGCTCCTGAAGGACTGGTTGTGCTCTTCCCCAACCCCCACCCTTACAGGCTGCCTTCGATCAGCGCATGAAGACATGGCAGCGCTGGCAGGATGCTCAAGCTACGCTGCAGAAGAAGCGGGAGGCTGAGGCTCGGCTGCTTTGGGCCAACAAGCCTGACAAACTGCAGCAGGCCAAGGACGAGATCTTAGAGGTGAGGCCCCCCCAAGGCAGATGAGTGGGGGTATTCTACTGACTCCCCAGTGAGCCTAGGTCCCATCCCACCCAGATGCTTGAAATCCCACAGCAGGCAAGAGAGCTATTTTAGCCTAAAGGACGGTGGCTGCTGAGGAAGCCTCAGAAGAGTCCAGGCTTGCCTGAAGGCCTGACACTTTTTCCCTTTTCCCATTCCACCCAGACTTGTCAGATAAGAATCTCTTCAAGAGGGGTCCTGGGTGGGTCTTAGAAAAACTCCAAGGTGACTCAGATATGCCCCTCTGGTGAGAACTAAATTCAGTTCTCTGGAACTCCCAGCTCTGCTGGTGGGTACCTAAACCAGAGGCTTTGGAGTGCCAGAACTTCCTTAGAGACCAGGCCTGGCCTGGGGCACACAGCATCTCTTTTCCAGCCAGATGGCCTTACACACTGAATCCCATATGGTTTCTAATCTTACCCAGAGAGAGAAACAGACATAATGACCAATTGAGGTCTCATGCGTAGAATTGCTGTCCAGAGGGAAAGACTCAGTAATGATATCATAGTTTTAAGTGATCCTGTCTTTCCCCTTTTCTTCCCAGTGGGAGTCTCGGGTAACTCAGTATGAAAGGGACTTTGAAAGGATTTCAACTGTGGTCCGAAAAGAAGTGATACGGTTTGAGGTGAGATAGAACATCCTATTTCTCACAAGTGTGCAGTGCCTGGTTTAGTGGTGGTGTTGGTTTTGTTCAAGTCTATTGAATCAGGAGACAGACGGAAGTGCTGGTGACTTGGTAGTTGTTGTGAACCAATACCACCTTCTATGTGTGTTCACGTTTGTGTTCTGAGGCAAGGTAGCTGTCCTGTACGTGTTGCTAGACCAGAGCAGATAGACACGGAACAAAGCTTGCAGCTGTCCTTTGTCCTCTGGTCCTCTTTCCTCTCTCTTCTCTTCCTCCACCCCCCTTCCCCCCTCTGACCCCCCACCACCCACCATGAAGAAAGCTTTGCAGGGCCTTGCAGAAGCTGTTTGGCTGGAAGTTATAGCTATTCCAACTACTGGCTGTAGTTTCTGGGGCTGTGTTTGGCCTCAGTCAGCAATAAACACAGCCATCTGATCAAGAGGGGTAGGAGTAACTGTCTGGATGATCACTCTAGAATCCTGTCTCCTATAGAAAGAGAAATCCAAGGACTTCAAAAACCATGTGATCAAGTACCTTGAGACACTCCTGTATTCACAGCAGCAGGTATGTAAGTTATACATGACTTTCATCCTCTGTGCCTGATCCAGAGGCCTGCTGCCTACTTTGGGCTTTGGTAATGGGATGGGCTAGGCTGGCCCTGTTGCTCTAACATGGAACATCTAGTAGGGTCTTTTGCTAAGCAGGATTGCCCGAATCCTATAAGAAATTAGTTTTAAAGGACAAACTCCACCTAACCCTCTAAAGGCAGAGGCACCAGGTAGTGTGGTGAACAGTGGACCCCATTGTGAGGAGCTAACTGAGCTGGGCAAAGCTGTGGCCCCCACAGGGGTACTCCCTCCAGGGCAGAACCAGGAGTATCTTTAGTGATTTCCCTTGAACGGCCCCCACAGGGGTACTCCCTCCAGGGCAGAACCAGGAGTATCTTTAGTGATTTCCCTTGAACTTGATGCTTCCTCTTAGTCTAGAGACAGGTCAGGGCAGTGCGGCTTGCTGGCCAGTCTCTCCCAAGGTCCACTCAGCCTAGCCATTTCCTCAGCTTGCCTCAGCTCCAGCCTCCCTTGAGGTGGCTCAGGCATCTGAGGGAGTGCCATGCATGGCACTGTGCTTGCTCCCCTCCCAGGCTCAGGCTCTGCCACTAGGTGGGGGCACTTGCTTACTGTCCCCACTTCTTTGCAGCTGGCAAAGTACTGGGAAGCCTTCCTTCCTGAGGCAAAGGCCATCTCCTAATGGACCAAGGATACCAGAATCCACCTGCCTGACGCTGCCTTTTTATACACTGTCCTCCACCTCTGCTGGACTCCAGTGATGCATCCTGCCTAGCCTGGACTTTACCCCTTCCTCCCTGCCCCCACGACCCCTGTCCCTATTCTAACCATTACTTCATTTAGCTTCCATATATATTTTCTTACCTGAGAGAATAGTTTCTTGCTTTAAGCAAAAGACCTACACTAGGTGGTGGAGTTAGGGGATAGGGGTGGAGTATTGATATAAATATATAAATACAAATGTATATTTTTCAGGATGTGGTTAGGAACTGGGAATAACGTTTTCTGTTACTCCTGATGGTGCCATGAAAAGATTATGTAATAAAAAATTTTAAAATCAGGTCACATGCCTCAGAATGGTCTTGCTTTTTGCTTTAGGCTGGGAAACTGTTGGGAAGCAGGTCTGGAATACTCTGAACCAAGAAATTGCCCAAGTTGAGGAAGTTTCTCTCTACAGTAGTTTACAAGCTTTTGCTGCTGTTTCCCTATGGAACTAGAATTTCTTTTTTTCTATCTACCTCAGCTACCTGCTCGGAGGGTCTCTTAATCTGTTTAATTCTTATTCCTACTTTTTTAGGGAAGGAGTTGTAAAGACATCTCTTACAGTAAGAGGGTCAAAATGGATTCTCCTCCAAAGGAGGCCGACTCTTTTATTCCTACTCTGTTTCCCTTGGCTGCCCAGGGCTCTCTGAATCTTGCCCTCTGAGAGCAGTCATGTGTTCTGAACTTCTTTTTGCCCATGTCCTCAGTAGACTGATGTTAAAAGTGTGAAGGGGCTGATATGGACTTAACACTTTATCCGCACTGCAGCAGAGCCAAGCACTCCGCTTTAGATAAGGCCACCCAGGAGTTCCTAAACTGTTTGAGGTTCCAGGAAGCTTTACTGCCTATGCCCAGGACATAGCATGCTAAACGAGGCCCCAAGTGTTGTCCACACAGTCCAAGGACATTCAAAGGGGTCTCTGTCCCGGCCTGGCCAGGGAGGCTCAAGTCTCAGATGCGCTGTTGCTGGGCTTCCCCTCAGCTGTGTCCACAGCTGCTGAAACTGGCTGGTCAGAGTGGACTGTGAAAGCTGCTCTGTGGCATGGGGTTGGCAGACTGCCTGCCATGGAACCTTGCCACTCCTGCCTCCCCTCCTCCAGCCCGAGACTCCCCTTTCTGAGGGTGCTTCATACCTACTCTGTTAGTTCTCTTTGGTGGGTGGTTAAGGTTTGGGAGGGGTGCAGCTTGAGGCAAGAGAATGCAGTAAACAACACTGATTTCCAGTACACCAGCCTGGTGGGGGCAGGGATGTGAGGGGTGCAGTGCTGGCAAGTATCTTTTTCAACGGGTTGATTTTTGGGGAAAAAAATCCGGCTCTTCTTACCCTCCAGTGTCCTCATTACCACCCTTGATTTAACCTTCCAGTCCTTACATGTTTGTTTTTGCATAGTTGTCATAATATACACAAAATACTTTGTATCCTGCTTTTATCATTCAGCACTATGTATTTTATGATCATTTCTTCTATATTGTTGTATATCTTCACACACTATTTATTTATAAGGCTATGTAATTTTAAAGCTTCCACAGAGTGACTGTTCCATAATTCTGACTCATCCCTTGTTGTTGGATTCTTGGTTGTTTGGTAAATTTTAAATTTTAATAGAATTTCAATCCTACAGAAAAGTTACAGGATATCACAAAGAACTTCCATAGGGACGCCTGGGTGGCTCAGCGGTTGAGTGTCTGCCTTCGACTCAGGGCGGATCCGAGGTCCGAGGATCAAGTCCCCCGCATCGTGCTCCCTGCAGGGAGCCTGCTTCTCTCTCTGCTTATGTCTCTGCCTCTCTCTCTCTCTGGTCTCTCATGAATAAATAAATAAAATATTAAAAAAAAACAACTCCCATATATCCTTTACCCAAATTCACCAAGTGTTTACATTTTACCTTATTTGCTTTTTGACTTATTATCTATGCTTACATATTGTATTTTCTGAAGCATTTGAGAAAAGTTGCAGACATTGTGCCCTTTTATCCCAAAATCTGTAGTATACATTTCCTTAAGTACAAGGACACTCTCTCATAACTTAAAACCATAAGTACGGTTATTGAAATCAAGTTTGACACTGAAATAATACTGTTACATAACTCATGGTCCATATTTGAATTTTGTCAGTTGTCCCAGTAATTTCCTTTATAGCAATTCTCTTTTTCCTGGTGCAAGATCATGTGTTACATTTAGTTACACAGGATTACACGGGTCTCTGTTGATCCAGAACTTCCCAGCCTTTGGTTCGTTGCCATTCATTACCTTTGCATTTTTGAAGAATATTTGTAGAATATTCCTCAATTTGGATTGGCCTGATGACTAGATTAGGGTTTTGCAATTGGGAACATCACAGAAGTAACATCCTCCATGCATTTTATTTTGTTTTTTTCCTCTGTGCATTTTAAGTTGGCATATCATGTCAGTTGGTCCTGCTAATGCTGCAGTCAACTCTGATCACTGTTACTATTTCCCCCTTTGTAATTAACAAGGAATTTGTGAGTTGATACTTTGAGATCATGTAAATATCTTGTTCTCTTCCATTGTGCTTTTCTAACCCCATAATCTGCATTTACTGGTTGGCACCCTACCAAAGAAAGGCATCCTTTCTCCCTTACTTAATAATATACTTACCAGTATGGATGAATGGATTCCTATTTTACTTCAAATCGCAAGCCACTGCTTTGATTTACTTTGATTCTCAAATCATCCCAGATTGCTGGGAGAGTCCTGTATCTTTTTAACCTGTCTCCATTTTTGAACACTTTTGTTATTTTCTGGCATAATGTTTCGAGCTTCTCTTGTGTCTTCCTTGCCCCAGCCCTGGAATCGGCCATTTCTCCATGGAATCTTGATTTCTTGTAGTAGAGAATTGTATTTAGAAACCAAGATCTGAAAAAAAAAAAAAAAAAAAGAAAGAAAAAGAAAAAAAAGAAACCAAGATCTGGGCACCTGGGTAGTTCAGTGGTTGAGCATCTGCCTTTGGCATCAGGGAGTGATCCCGGGGTCCTGGGATCGAGTCCTGCATCAGACTCCCTGCAGGGAGACTGTTTCTCCCTCTACTAATGTCTCTGCCTCTCTGTGTCTCTCATGAATAAATAATATCTTTTTTAAAAAGAAAAGAGGACATACCCCGTGGGCTCAGCGGTTTAGCGCTGCCTTCAGCCCAGGGTGTGATCCAGTCCTGGAGACCGAGGATCGAGTCCCACGTCGGGCTCCCTGTATGGAGCCTCCTTCTCCCTCTGCCTGTGTCTCTGCCTCTCTCTCTCCCTCTCTCTGTCTCTCATGAATAAATAAATAAAATCTTTAAAAAAAAAGAAAGAAAAGAAAAATAAACCCAAGATCTGGGTCCGGAGAGTGCTCATTTCTCCTGCAGCATCATTGCTTCTAGGCTCTTGGCAGCCAGACAAGAAAATAAGGAAGGATAAAGATCTATATAGCAACAGAGAGAAAGAGAGATGACCTAAAGAATTAGATAATAGAAATCATGAATTCACACGGATACTTCCACTCTAGTCCAATTGGGTTTATCCTAGTCTCCCTTTTCCATATCTGTCTCTTCTCCAGAGAAACTTAATTTTAAAACTTTCTCCTTGCTTTGTTATGTTCCATACAACGATCCTCTTGATGCAAGGTTTTTTTTTGTTTGTTTGTTTGTTTGTTTTATTTTTTCCTTGGGATGGACTCTTCTGGTTTCAGAACTTCCTCTTCAGCCTCCAGCATCCGAGGCTGACCGGGCCTGTGCATTTCTGTACAGAGCTTGCAAATGTGGAAATTGAGGAGGCCAGCAGCAGGCGACGAATGCTGAGCCGAAGGCCTGCACAGTGGTACGAAAGAAGGAGTCCTACCTGGGGACTCAAGAAGAAGAAATATGTAGAGAAGAGGATGCTTGCCCTGGGTCTTCAAGGTGAAGAGGTATTTGCCCCTTCTAGGGCCATTCTGCTTTGCTGCCTCCCAACAGTGGGAGGTAGGCACATCTAGGGAAATGCAAGTGGCTCCGTGTGGCCAGAGTCAAGTCAGTGGATAGCCTGCAGAGTGATGAGCAGGAGGCAGATCCTACCATCTGTACAACTTGTGAGGCACACAGAACATCATCCAGAAGTGTGGAGAGCCAGCGAAGGGACCTCAGCACGAAGTAACATGGTCACTTTTGTGATTTAGATCAATTCGAAGGTGTGAGACAGGCAAAGTGAGCAGCCAGGCCCTTCCCAGCCAGCCGGAGGGAGCTGAGGGGGGGCAGAAGGAATGGTCCTGGAGCTCCCGGGAGAGGCCCGGGAGGTGCACATGCAACCACAGGCATCTGGTCATTGAGGTGATGGGAGGCCTGAGGGAAGGGCAGTAGCTAGCCTGGCCTGCAGATTTCTGGCTCGGGTTCTGGGGTAGACTGTGAAGCCCTCCTGACACAGGTAACACAGGAGGCCGAGTAGGTGAGGAGCAGATGGGAGTGGACAGTGAGTTTAAAAGGTGCTGCCCATGTCCTGTTGTGTCAGAGGCTCCTCTGGGAAGGGAAGCCCGTGCTGAAAGGTAGGAGAGAAACAGAGTGAAAGGAGCCTTTATTTTATTAAAATGTGGGTCAGTGGGGGATCCCTGGGTGGCTCAACGGTTTGGTGCCTGCCTTCGGCCCAGGGCTTAATTCTGGAGTCCCAGGATCGAGTACCACATCGGGCTCCCTGCATGGAGCCTGCTTCTCCCTCTGCCTGTGTCTCTGCCTCTCTCTCTCTCTCTCTCTCTCTCTCTCTCATAAATAAAATCTTTAAAAAATAAAAAGACTTGCATTCTGAATGCACATGTAGCTGGGAACCCTAAAGAAAATAAAGAATGCCTTTGCAGCTCAAAGTGTAAAAATGGGGAGTTGATAAATCTGCTGAGGGTGGGACTGGGAACTGGTTAAGGAGAGAGCATGGTGATGGAGAGAGTGTCCACTGCTGAGCATGCCTAGGGCCCATATGGGACTGGAAACTGTGGATTTGAGGGGCATCAGGCCCAAGGTGGTGGGATTTTCCCCACAGCAGCCTATGGGAACGGGAGGGAAGGGGAAAATACTGATCCCTCCTGCAGCAAAGAAGGATAGACTTTGCTGCAGTTGGCATACATTTGGATGAACATTTTATCTTTGGAGACTCTGAGATTTTCTGCTCCATGCTTGGGGAGAGTTGGGCCTGAGCTGAGAGCTAGAAATGGGTAAGAGCTCATCCGTGTCTTCTGGCTGTGGGGCTGGTATGTACGCCATCTGCCAGTGCCTGGTGACACCAGATGTGTGGTTGACGATGGCATACTCTGCCAAACAGTCAACTCTCTGAAGTGGTACGTCTT